CACGAAAGTGATAAAATTACATTGATTGATCTAAAGAAAGAACTTGCGCTGTACGAGAAGAAAGTAGGCACAATAATTGCTAATTTTATCAAGACTTTTCTTTCTCAAAACCTTGTTTCCAGTATACTGACTGCGAAACTAAACTTGAAGAGCTGAAAATTGCGAACGCTGAACTGTCGGATCAATTGAATAAAGCAAAACAGGGATGGCAAAAGGATAAGGAAAATCATCAGCACAAGCTCAGACAAACAGAGAAGGTGCTTAGAATTTGAACATAAATAAGTTGTCAGGAACTTCCCTTTCAAGCAGAATTTGTGAGTTACAGATAAGAATGGTTGAAATGGACGCTCTTCAGCAGAAGTTTTCAAGTCGCATGCGAATCATGGAAGACACAAACAAGTCCCTTCATTCACAGGTCGAAATTTGGAAAATGTCTGCGCAATGTTAGCAAATTAACTTACAGTTGGTGCTGGCTCGCCGCGAACGAGACACGCACAAGGAGACTTTGGCCAATGTTGAGCGCAAGATACTTGAAGATCGAAAAGCAAAGGATTCTCGCGACACTGAAATGCAGAGAGCTCAGGAGAAAATCAAGGATATGGTAACGTCTAGAACAGCATCAACGTGGGAAAGTTTGAATGGTTGTGATGCACAAATCATTTAGCAAAAATCGTTGGCTGATGTACAGGCAGAGTTGGAGCGCGCTAACACGGATCTACGTCTTACAAAGGAAGCCCGTAAGGCAGATCAAATTCTGTGGAAGATCGACAGAGCCCGAGGTAAATTTTTTGAGTTACATTTCCACATTCTGCACAATCTGTCCAATGAAGGTCGAAACGAAAAGCTCTCGGATGAAGATATCCATGCCGTTGAGCAGCTACAGACGAAGTTCCGCGACTGTGAGAAATTCTATGTGAAAGAAACGGAACGTCTGACAGAGAAGTTGAAAGCCATGACACAAGAATTCAAAAAGCAGCGTAACGCTCATGAAAGGATAGTCACAGAGGTAAGAATTCTCAATTGATCTTGACAAACAAACACGTGGGTGTCCTCGATTGTTTCTCGTTTGAGCTGAGAGAACATGTACGAGTGCTGGAGATAGAACAACGAAATCTTAGCCTAAAGAAGGACAATCAAACAGCAGCCAGTGAGATTTTGGAGGCAGGGGCGGCTAGACTACAACAGGCTGTGCACTTAAATGAGCTGCAAAGGTTGACCAGAAAGTACAGATTGAGTAGTATTATAGACCAGGTACATTAGCGTGCGCTTGTAAAGAAGATCTCCTCAAACTTTGCTGAACTTTTTCAGCTTCAATTTGTCACCGATCCTATTCGACGCAACGGCAGAAATGAAGTAGTAGATGGCAATCCGGACGGAATAAAGTATATAATCAATCAACTGATTGCTCTTCGCGATGAGGACGCACAAGCAGTCGTGCCAGTGAGGTTGGGACTTTCAAAAAAAATTTCAAGCATTCGGGTAAATATGGAGATTAAGCGATGACCGCTGTGGATCAGCACAAACCTATGGAGAAAAAAACACTTATACCCCTTCGATCAGTGAATGTGACGGTACTTATGACAACATCAGTCAATCATCACTGAGCATACGATCCGTGGCGAGTATGCCGGTTAAAAGCACTCTTGGGTAAGTTGTTTTCGAAGAGAGGTCCACGGATGTGAAGAAATAACAGTCCTTCTCGAAATTCTAGCTTTGAGCATCTAACAACTAGTCTTTTAGCTCTGACAATCGCAGTGGTTTCGAGCGTTACGGGAAGCACATTTCTCGACGACCCTACCCTGATCATGCTGTGACAGGTTTGTTTTCCAAGCATAATTTCTCCGTCAATGAATTCTTTTATGCTAAAAGTGACTTATAAGCGCGGACTGGCCGTCACTTCGGAGCCTGGGGTGAAACGCTTGTCCCAATATAAATGACATCATCCAAGTCGCGCTCTCGCAACGTTCTATTCGCGCGTCGCGGCTGCCGCAATACGCCAGTCTGTGCGGTCCATAAATTAGGCATTCCTATCAGTGAAAAACGTTGTTTAAGGAGATAGGGAAGAAGATTCCATCAAAGTGCCTGTAAATGATGAACGGAAGTTGTCAGCGCCGCAGGTCATTCCACGAACTTCATCTTTCGACCAACACACCGAGACTGGATCGCAATCGCACAGAGCAGGTAAACTTTAAGTGGTTTATGAATGACAGAGCTGTAGGAACGGAGAAAAGCCATTACTGTTGTAGAACATGTGTAAACTTAGGTACGACGAGCATACTTTGTCGCGTGCGACGTGAAGAGCTCGCACGTGGTGGTCAGCCTTCCGTACGACTCATGGCGCGAGCCTTCGAAGCTATTGATAACTGTCCCGCTGAAAAGCAAGGCTTCTTCAGTATGAGGAAATCGCGCTCGGTCGAAACGACACAGGGTAGGGACCCTATCAAGGTGAGACAATGGAAACCCACGCAAAACTTTCCATTTAAGGAAAGAAATGTTCACAGGTGGAAACACCACCTCTCAAACATAGCATGAGTAACGTTGAGGTAGAGGAAGCTGCTTCGCCCTATGCTACGCTACCGCGAGGTCAGTACTTGATTCAAAAGTAGCTGAGATGACATGGCGTTCTAGGCGGTCGCAATCCTTTCAAGAATATGGGGTCGAAACTTGTTGAGAGAGTGAGGAGGAGCTTATCACGATCGAGTCGACAAAGTAGTGAAGCTCCAGAGTCAGCGGATCCAAAAGTTGATAAAAGTTCGTCCAAAGCGGTGAGTTGAGATTTTGTAGCTTGGTAGTCTAGAAGAAAATCTGCTTCTGCAAGGGAAATTTCTTCATACTCCTCTATTTGGTCACTACAGCACTGAGTAATCTTGGCTGAGTAAATTTTGTTCAGACTTGCGGTCATTTTTGCCGCTTCCTACGTCGTCGCGTTTAGCAGTCATGAGTTAGATAGGCGTTATACTTACCGTTCAGCCAGTTCATCCGTTTCGCTCATTCGCTATTGGTCAATCCATCGTTTTGACCAACAGCGAATAGCATGAACCGGATAAACCGGATCAACCGTCGAACCAGTTAAGTCTGGCGCCTGCTTTTGGGTGAAAAAAAAAACTCAGAAAGAAACGCAGTTTTTGCGTATGCCGCATCCGTTTTCATGTTCTTGTTGGAAAAACGCGTACTACTGCACCATCACTAATTACTGCATGTACCACTTCTGTGGGAACGCTCACAGGTGACCCCAGGCAATTTGACCTCTGATCCTGCGGAGAAGACCGTTTAGCAGGTACGGAAGGCGAAATTTGAGGTGGATTCGCGCAATCGTAATGCTGGGGCACTTCTTATAGACCCCAGCACTGTGTCGCACGCGGCACAGTCTGTGGCGGCTTTGAAAAGCAGAAGGAGGAAAAATGTGCCGCATGGCGATGTGTTTAGAGTCACTTAGGACGGCTACCGAATACATTTGTGCGAAAGGCCCGTCTTCTCGGAGTGTGTGTGTAACATACCGTGAGGGATTCAATGAGCTTACTAGATTGGCCACTACGAC